TTTCATGCAAAAATGCTTTTCCTCACTGTGCAAATAAAGTAGACAGAAAGGTGCAGCCCTAATTCGAATGTATCTTTATAAGGTTTATGGTATTTTGTCCTAATAGTTCCTCAACAGAGCGCTTGCCCATATCTCCGATGAGAAAAATATAAACTATCGTATTTGCAATCTTCGTCCGAACACGTTCGGTCGCATCAAGTTTCCAGGCCGAACACGTTCGGTTACGAACCGTTCGGTGACCGAACATGTTCGGTTGCGAACCGTTTGGTGACCGAACATGTTCCGTTGCGAACCGTTTGGTGACCGAACACGTTCGGTTACGAACCGTTCGGTGACCGAACTATCGGATTGCTGCATGCCTACCAGCGGTTATCTAAATGTATAAACTCATTCCCTTTTCTCCAAGTTTTTTCTTGTTCAAGCATCGTTCGTAATTAACGTGATCAGATACTGAATCATGCGCTAAAATCATGGACAATTTATGGACGATAGAAAATATTTGAGTAAAAAAAATTAAATTTGATAAAAAGAAGTATAACCAAAAAAATAGATTTTGATGGACAATATCTGTTCATTCATCAATACTATGAGAGGATAAGAACTGGTTAACGTTCACATCTACCTACTTGCATAAAAACAAACATCACACCATACCAATTAAAGATTAAATACACACCAAAAAGTATAAAAAGCACAGTAAAACCTTCAGCATGCAAAACAATTTGTACAAATGATGGTAAGAAACGCTCAAGCTATCTTTAGCGATGATTCACTGGTCTTCTTTTACGTTGCTGAACTCTTTCGGCAACTTTAGATTGTGTTGATGTCTGATCTTCCTCTCCGTCTGAATCGATAAAAATGTTGCTAATGCCAGTACCATGTCGTTTCGCTGTCGTCTTCTTTTTCTGCACTGAATTAATTATTGTTGCACTCGATGTTGTTGTATCTAATTTCATTTTTTTCCCTGATAGATCGATATTTTCGACATCTTTTACATTGTCGATATTATCGGCTTTTCGTTTTGATTTGTTTTCGTCGGTGACTGTTGATTGTTTCTCTTTTTGATAATTTGTAGTTGAACAATTAATTGAATAATCCGATGAACTTAAAGGTGATTTTAGTATTTTCGCAGGTGATGTTTCTTCTGTTTTTTGTTGTTCTTGGTCATTGGCTTTTATTCGTGGCACTTTTGAGGTGATTTTAATATCCCATTCATTCAGTAACTTTCTGGTTGAATTCGAAGCACTTCCTTTATCATCGAATATAATCGAATATAATAACCGTATTGTCGTACTGTGAGGCCCGAATTTAATCTCAAAAATTTTAAACAGACTAACCCATAGCGCAACGGCTTCTTCAACGTCTTTCGTTGACACCCACACAGTTCCAGTCGAGTATGATGTTTATTTCTTCGTCTGTATATTGAATAGATGGATTGGGAGATACTGGTTTCTGGAAATAACGAATAATAGTAAATTTTTGAGCACGCTGCACC